AATCGGCCGGCCGGTCCTTAACTATGCAGCACCCATATGGTCGCAGATGAGGAAACTACAGACCTGCCAGAATACAGCACTCCGGACCACGATGGGATGCCTCTTGATGTCTCCCATCGAAAACCTACATAGTGAGACGCTTATGCTCCCAATTAAGGAGCATAATGAACTCTTCTCCAAGCAGTTCCTGCTGGGACGTTTTCGTAGAAATTATCCTTGCAGTCATCTGCTTGGAGCGGAACCGCCTCCTAGGAGCATCAAGAGGTCATTCCTTGATCACGTCGACGACATCGAACAATACGCCGACAAGACCTCGGACGCAACAGACTTCCGACAGGCACTGACCGCCATTTACAGTGGAGCCATCAACATCTTCACCGACTCCCTCCCCGTGAATGGCGTACTTGGAGTCAAATCGCCACCCATAGCAGACGAAGAGCTCGAGTTGCCGCGAGAAACGCGAGTGACCCTTGCGCAACTTCGTTCTGGATATTGTAGCAGGTTAAACTCCTACCTATCCAGAAAAGACCCTTTTCCCTTTGGTCCGACCCCGTCGAAACAGCACGTTTCCTGGGCCTCCTGTTAGATGACATCGACGACAACACTGATAACGCTCACCATCATAACGGGGACTGATAACCGTAAAACAACAACAACAACAAGAACCAGGCAAGCATACTGTGTGCATCCTGCCGTACCTGGGTCCACCTTAAATGTACGAACTTAACCACTGACGAATTCAAGGATATAGCTCGCTTTAATAAACAAAATAGTCCAACGTGGAAATGTGACCAGTGTATAAGTGAGGTTAGTGTCATTTTTCCAGATGACATTCCAGAAGTCCACGAAGGCGAGGCGGTAACAATGGATAAACTAGAGAAACTAAAGAAACTCTTTGAGAGAAAACTTCAATCACTTACAGTAACACTAATAGGTCAATTCCAAACTAAACTAGATCAATTCAAATCAGCTATCGAAGGTAACGTGGCCAATATCAGAGACGAGGTCAGTAACCTTGCTAAGCAAAATAATACATTAATTAATGATTGCTCTCATCTTAACAACAGACTTACTAATGTGGAGAAAACACTTGAGTCTGGTCTGGATATGTCAACATCGGTTGACGACATTTTTGCTGAGATGGCTGAACGTAAAAGGCGTCAATCCAACGTTATAGCTGTCCCAGAATCTACGAAAGTTGATGGTCTGGAGCGCCTGGAGGATGACAAAACCAAAATTCTCGCTGCATTTCCACCTAGCATTGCTCGCAGTTTACCAAACCTCAAATTACGCCGATTTGGTCGTCCAACAGCTGGTTGCAATCGGCCCCTACTTATTGAAACACCGTCTCCAGACATATTACTAATCCTTAAGCACAAATCAGATAATGACACTTCGAATCCCATATGCTCTTCAAATCTGACCAGACACAAGCCCAACAGCTCCATTTAAAAAATTTACGTGTTGAACTCGATAATTAAGAGTAGAGATACAACTAAAACCATTAAGTACGTACACGGAATTCCTAAGATCGTTAACAAAAATTTTCGCCCGCTCACTTAGAAGGGTATGCCTAACAAAGCTGGTGATACTGTACCAGAATGTGAGAGGTCTGAGGACAAAAATAACCGAACTCCAAGCATCGTCATCGGCCAGTAATGCTGACGCCTGGCTACACCCAGCCATCCTAACTGATAACTATCTAGAATAAATTTATATCAAAATCAAGTGCAATAATACGGATCTAATTATCGGGTGCATATATCTGCCACCTCGATCAGCATACGAAGCTTACAAATTACACTCTCAACAACTATCCTATATGAGAAACAAATATAAAAATGCCAGAATCATAATCGTCGGTGATTACTTACCCAGCAGTACTCCACGCAATGACTGTGAAAACTTACTATACACCGGTTTAGCATCTGCGGGCTGCACACAACCTAATAATGTCCTAAATGAACACCACAATCTCCTAGATCTCTGCTTCTCAAGCATAGATATTAATATTAGCAGCACCGAACCCATCATAACAATGGATAAATACCATCCAACCCTAGAAATAACTACAGAACTCTCACCTGAACTCAAACCAGCTGATTCACCCTCACTTGCATTCAAAAAAGCAGACTACGAGAATATCAATACCTTTTTCTAAAAAAAACCAATTGGTCGGAAATACACGCCTGCGTTTCCCTAGACGAAAAAATAAAATACTTCTACGATACATGACAAGATGGAATCTCACGCCATGTTCCTGTGCACATAAGCAAGATAAATAACTTTCCATGCTGGTTTTCAAATGAGCTAATTCACAAAATAAAACTAAAAACGGCAGCACACTCAACTTTAAAAAAAAAAGAAACTAGACAGAACTACCAAAAATTCAGCGATCTCAGACGAATATGCAAAAACTTCAGTACGTCGTGTTACAAAAACTATGTAAACAAAGTTAAGCAACTGGTCCTCTCTGATTCAAAAGAATTTTGGAAATTTGTTAGCAACAAGAAAAGAAGCAACAACAGTGATATTCCTACTAACCTAGTTTGGAATAATCGATCAGCCAACTCTGGAGTTGAGGCCAGTAATATATTCGCAGCTTTCTTTGAGAGTGTATATCCTGCGGTGACTCAACCCCCGATGCCTTTCTATACAACAAGACACAAGAAAACCAGCGCACATTAAATGACATAGAAGTCACAGTGGATGTTGTCAACAAGACACTGCTATCACTCAACACCAAGAAGGGTGCTGGACCAAACGGCATTCCTAATATATTTCTTAAAAACTGCGCTACAAGGCTTAGTGAACCACTAACACACATCTACAACGCATCATTGCAACAGGGTATTTTTCTCACAGAATGGAAGCTGTCTTTCATCACTCCCATTCACAAGGATGGTCTTAGATCAGAAGTCTCTAACTATAGACCCACATGTGTCCAGTCAGCACTCGCGAAGATCTTTGAAAAACTAATTCTACTACTATTGCCTCAATACTTTTCTGAAATTATAACACCTAAACAACATGGTTTTTTTGGTGGAAGATCTACCACCTCTAACCTGTTCACCTACGTCAACTATATCCTGAATGCATTGAATAATGGATGTAAGGTACATACTGTCTACACTGACTTTAGCAAAGCCTTCGACAGAGTCAACCATGACATCCTATTGCAAAAGCTACATGGAATTGGTGTGAGAGGTAACGTACTAAAATGGATCAACTCTTATCTTGTTGGTAGAAAACTTCAAGTCAGAGTTGATGGCCATCTATCATCTAACTATGACGTCAAAACAGGGGTAACACAGGGATCACACCTGGGTCCTGTTCTGTTTAATATATTCATCAACGACATTGGTGTTAATTTCAGCTCGGAATACCTCCTTTTTGCTGACGACCTAAAGCTTTACAGAAGAATCACAAACAGCTCAGACACCCAAGCCCTCCAACAAGATCTGGATCATCTCTCTACGTGGTGTATCAACAATAAGTTGGATCTAATATAAAAAGGTGCGCTGTCATATCCTTCTCACGCTCACATACCAATACTCAGACAAACTATGAGCTAGCTGGAAATAAAGTCACCGAAGTTGAGAACATCAAAGATCTAGGAATTATTATGGACCAAAAGTTCATCTTCACTAAACACGTCGATAAAATTACCCAACAAGCCCACAAACCGCTGGGCTTCATCACCAGGACCTGTAGCGACTTCTCCAGTCCTCACACGCTAATCCATCTTTACTACCATCTTGTTCAACCTATACTAGAATATGGATCAGTTATCTGGTCTCCATATACCGATCTCCTGATCAATCGTGTTGAGAAGGTCCAAAGAAAAATGTGTAAAAATCTAGCATATCGATGCGCCCAACCATCTTATGACTGCTCACCTGATGAAATATCCCGATACTTCAAAATAAATAGCCTTAGCTCTCGTCGCCAAATTGCTCACCTATCATTTTTCTTCAAAACAGTAAACGGCATTATCGATGCATCAGACATTAAAAATAGCTTTGAATTCGCCCCAGGCAACTTGTACTTAAGACGTAAACGTTTACTCAAAACCTCACAGTCATCTAAAAACTATGTGGTTCACGGTCCTCATAATCGCATCGCTACTCTCGTCAACTCCCTGCACAATGACATAGACTTCTATGGAGAATCATATAGCAACTTTATCACCACCCTGAAGAGCAAGCAACTCGACTATCACTAGCTTTTCATTCACTAATCTTGTTGTCTCATGTCTATAAATGTACTATCCCTCTCAAGCATATCATATTATAATAATTGATATTATATTATATTATAAATTGTTTATGTATTTAAATTACTGGTATAATGACGATAGGCGTTCGTTTAATAATAATAACAATAATTCTAGTGAGGCACTATTTTCTGAAAAAGTTATTACATGAATAATGAAGGTAAGATACACACTTAGAATTGAAGAGATTTGCTTAGTGTTTGATAAGTACATGTTGTGTGTTGCAAGTAGCGATAAATAATCAGTACGATTGTTATTAAAGCAGATTAAATTTTTATATTTTAATGCTTCACGAAATGTAGTATATCACAAAATGTGATATAGGCTTATGATTAGGAAAATATATTTGATTCAAGTCATTCATATCATAGCGTTTAATGTTTTATGTATTATCACGGCTTATGCCTGACTCTCTGAAATGTTCTAGTATTGATTATCCTGAAAAGCTGTTCTGCTTTAGGCGAATGCTGAGACGGTTTTCGATTATGAGAAGGTGGTTGAGGAAAAGTGTTTATTGTTTGGTAAAGGAGAAGGGAAAGCCGGGATGAAAACTGTTAATGTTTCAGTACATTGCATTATCATTTTCCTAAATTATATCGTCCAGAGGTTAGGAAACGTTAACAGCATTAAAACAAAGATTAATTATTTGTCATATAGAGAGTTTACATTCTTTAGCAAAATTAAAATGCAGTTGATTAAAAAATTAAACACTTATACTGCTTACCTTCTTATAAATCATCAGTAAACTCTTTTCCGCTTGTCGGAGTAAAATACGAATAGGTAGTTTTTCTTCAAGTTGCTCATTATAAATTTTTGCATAAGCACCATATTTCAAAGTAAATTTCGCAACAAATTTCCAAGCTTCTACCTTGATTTTAATTTCTATAAATTTATCATTTGCAACACCCGTGCATAAAGTTTTAATATCTTTAAAATAAAAATATAAAATACGGATTTCATTCAATATTTTGTGTCCTTACAGTGAAAAATAGTGCAATGTTCCGTATCACTTATTTGTCTATGAATTTCAAGGCAATCCCATAATAGCTTATGTGATATGTTATGCAGAAAATTTATCCATCCTATTTGTGACGTTAAATCAGACTTTTTGGCACTAAATTGATCATTCACCTTTAATAACCATTAATTTAAATTTGTTTAAGATACTTACTTCAATTCAAAAAATTGGCAGGATTTTTGGGCTAAATCCAAAATAGTGTCAAAAAATAGGCACATTCCAGTCACATTAAATTTTTGATCACAAATATGAATAGATTTGAGAAACTCCGAAGATTCTTTTAGCCAACAACTTAGTTGGTTATATGTTTTATCATCAACAATACAAGTCATTTCGAGCGCCTTGTAATAAACAGCAAGCAAAATATGATTATTAAAATATAGAACATTTCCAAAGTATGATTCAAAACAAACCATTTTTTCGAAATAATTTTGGCAGCAAAGCGTTAAAATACCCCAATCGGATCGACAAAAATTTTCATAACTATAAATCTTTTGCAACTTTTTCACCCACAGATTTAGTACGTCACTAGCAGTGATGTCTCTACATTCAATTGCTTTGGAAATAACACTGAAGGCGTATTCTTTAGTTATATTTTTGGAAATAAATTCTACATCCAAAGATGAAAGCTGTGTATAAGTAACGTTAATACTTTTAATATTATCCATAGCCACAAAAAAATTTAAATTTTGTTTCAATTTGCGGGCATTTTTAAAACTCTATCGACATACTACATAGAGACTAACGAACATACATTAATTTCATACTCTAATCGATAACTTTACGTAACGACCCCAGCTGTAAGTCGGCTATTACACGAAGCAGCTTTTGTTGCTGATTCTCGGGCGATTCTCTTTTGCTGTTGCCCATTGCCTACACACGAGCAACTTGTGTTGCGCAACTCTGTTCGAGTTTTTTTCTCATTCTCTTTCACTTTACTTTAACCCATTGTCGTTTCTTTTTCCTTTTAAGTATTTGTGCCACGCTTTCACATATATAATCAGTTCTGTCAATCAAGAAATACATTTTATTTATATTTCAAAATTAAAACAAAGGTTATATAACAGATCTTCACTATCGTCTGAATCAATTTGTATGGCTTCGTCCATACATTTCACAATATCTTTAATTAATTCGATTTTTTCGTCATACTCCATTTTCTAAAATATTATATTATGTATATTTGTATACATATTTGCAAAGTACGTACCAGAAGATGAAATTAAATTGTTTAAATATATTCAAAATATTACTTTCAAAATAATATACGCAAATGCAACTATGTACTACGGAAGAAAGAACACGAATGCAGAAAAACACAAAGCGACTTGCTGAACACTGGAAACTCAGCGCGATTCACCTGATCGAAATGCCTTTTTTAGCCACAGAGATGTAATTAAAAGAAATATAGTCGATCAACTTTTTTGTGAAAAAGTATTTGTAACGGAAAATATTAATGAAAACTTTCAAGAATATTTTTGAAACAAAAGTTTATTGGATATTTATTACTCTTCCTCACCACCTCTGAGGTTTCAATGTATGCGCGCTACCGATCTTTTTTGGGTGTTCGGTTCCCCAGGAGGCCTATTTTCACCCTTTTTATATACACAGTCTTAAATCAATCTACTTATTATAAAAAATATGGCTAGACAAATATAATACATAATATGTATAAAGTCAGGTACAATTCATGAATATTAATCAACTGGAAAATATTTAAACAAAACCCAAAATAAATATAAAAAAATCAGGTACAATTCCATTGTATGTATACATTAACAATACAAGTCTTAACGATCGGCTTGTGTTAATTTTAACAAAAATAAAAATTAATATAAAAAATCAAGTACAATTGTGTTGTTCCTGAACAGCAATAATATTCAAAACAATCTACTAAGTAATAAATAATATTTACAAAATATTCTAAATCGCCCACAGCGAAATACTTATTAAAAAGCCTATCAAAGGAATAGTGGTGGAAAGAAGGTCCTACACCTGGTACACGAAAACACTTAAAAAACAAAAAAAAAACAAAAATATTGATAATAAGCGTACAAACCTMATCGCTAAAATTCAGATCAAGGTAATTATGGAAATGCGGCCTTCGACAGATAAACTTTTTGAAATCACTTTGTTTTACTTTTTTATTAAAAGCGTTTACTAGGAAATATGTTCTAATTCCAATTAATAGACATTTTATAATATCAGAATTACAATTTTCACAACAATAGTACGGTTTTACATTCCTATGGCAAGTAGAATCAAAATGTTGTGTATAAATATCTTCGATTTTTGATAGAAAATCTATAAATTCAAGAGGTGCTTTTACTATTTGGCAATTACTATATTGCTTTTCTGAAGTGAAGAAAAAATTTTCTTCAGTGATAAGACCATCAAATCTTGGCAAGGGCATTAAACAAATATGTTGTTTAAAATGTTTATAGTACAAATAACGGCAAAAACACATAAAAGCATTTTTATGTAGAAAGCTGCTTTCATCTACGTCCACATTTACCTCGATTTGTATATTTTGAAATGAGGTAGAATTGGTAGGTCTTTGACTTTGAACTTTGAAAAGTGTCCCAAGAGGTATTTTGAACCAAAGCGTCGTTGCAGGCGCTTTTGAGGGAGCTATTAGAAAATGACTCAMACTGGTCAACTGGCAAGAGTTCGCAGTTCCCTTTATCTACACAACGAATATATCCTATGCCCCAGGCTTGTCTGAAAAGATATGAGAAACGCTGCGGAGT